GCAGAGAGCAGCCAGTATAGACCTGTATTTGTACACATGAAGAATGTCCAAGTTGAAAAGGTAAGTTGTGGAATAGTCTATATGTGTGACCTTTACTGTGTAACTGACCAGAAAGGTAAATATATTATATATCAGTGGGAGCTGCAAGGGAGGATTTGGGGACTGTTGATTGTGTTATGTACATTTTAGTCCATTCGAGATACTAAAACAAAATACCATAGAGTAGGGTGGCTTACAAACAACAAAAATTCACTTCTCATAGTTCTTGAGTCTGGAAAGTCAAAAATCAAGCTGCTAGCATCTTGTGTCCAATGAGGGCTATCTTCTGCTTTATACTGAATGCCTTCTTGCTGTATGTTTTCCTAGCAGAAGGGGCATGTCCTATATCTGAGTTTCTATAATAAGGTTGTTGTATTAGTTTTTCATCACTGTAACAGATACAAAGATAGCCCACGTATACAGAGAACACTGTGGGGAGCTGGAGAGATGGCATCTCAGCACACACTGACTTTCTCTGCAGACCCCTCTGTGTCCTCTGTTGTCCAACCTCCTGACTTGCAGATGGAAGGTGTCCTGTAGGTTGGTGGGTAGTTAGGGCCTCGAGATTGATGCAGTCAAATGCTGTGTATGTGTCATGCAAAGCAACGAGAAGAACCTTGGCAGCTGCCTCCAAAGAGAAACTTTGGAGGGAAAATATGAGGCATGTGAGGTGAACATATAGCTTGAGAAAATAACTCTGATGTCTGCATGAAAAGCCCTGAATTTTTAAGGGGCCTCTGATGTCAGTGAGGAAGTGTCTACATTGGGTTGGCAGATGGGCATGTCTGTCGGGCATTGTCTTAGTTAAGCCAATTGGTTGTGGGATGACCCAGCCCACTGTGGGCAACACCATTCCCTAGCAGAGCCTACTGAATTGAGTAAGGGTAGAAACGGAACTGAGCGAGCAAGCATGTGTGTATCCCCGCATTTCTCTCTCTCTGCTCTTGACTGTGGATGTGCCGTGACCAGCTGCCTGAAGTTCCTATGACTTTGACTTCTCTATGACAGATTCCAACCTGGGATTGTGAATTAAGTAAATCCTTTCTCCCCTAAGTTGCATTTTGGTCAGAGTATTTTATCACAGCCCCCAGAAATGAAACAGGAAAATAATGGAGGATGTCTTTCTGTCTGCTGTAAATATGTTTCTCTTATTGGTTGATGAATAAAGCTGTTCTGACCAATGGACAGGCAGGATGTAGCCAGGCAGGAAGCACAGGCAGGGCTACCAGGCTAGGAGAAGGCTGGAACACAGAAGAGTCACCAAGAGCCGCCATGTAGCCACCACAGGAGTAACATGCCAGAGCATTATGGGTAAGCCACAGCCTCATGGTAATACATAGTTTAATAGAAATGGGTTAATAATTAAGAGAGAGCTAGCCAATAAGAAGCCTGAGCCATCGACCAAACAGTTTATAATCAATAGAAGCCTCTGTGTGTTTACTGGGACTAAAGGGCCACGGGACCTGACTGGAAAGAAACTCCGTCTTCAGGAAAAAGCCCAGACCTACAGGTCATTCCAGCCCCATGAATCCTAGGGTCTTTTGTCCCTGCTTCTATTACAGCACCCGTGATTGTGGGGGTTACTTCTTGCATGAACTGTGAGTTTTCAGGGGACTTAAAGATTAAGGTATTACTTGTTTTTGCCCTTGTTTTCTGTTTGCCATCATAGAAATGTGATATTCAAGTGTAGCACACACACATACACACACACATACACACTGTAGTTTGAAAGTTGAATGTTCACACACACACATTGTAGTTTGAAAGTTGAATGTTTACACACACACACTGTAGTTTGAAAGTTGAATGTTTACACACACACTGTAGTTTGAAAGTTGAATGTTTACACACACATACACACACTGTAGTTTGAAAGTTGAATGTTTACACACACACACATTGTAGTTTGAAAGTTGAATGTTTACACACACACTGTAGTTTGGAAGTTGAATGTTTACACACACACACACAGTAGTTTGAAAGTTGAATGTTCACATACACACACTGTAGTTTGAAAGTTGAATGTTCACACACACACACTGTAGTTTGGAAGGTGAATGTTTACACACACATACACACACTGTAGTTTGAAAGTTGAATGTTCACACACACACATTGTAGTTTGAAAGTTGAATGTTTACACACACACACACACTGTAGTTTGAAAGTTGAATGTTTACACACACACAGTAGTTTGAAAGTTGAATGTTCACATACACACACTGTAGTTTGAAAGTTGAATGTTTACACACACATACACACACTGTAGTTTGAAAGTTGAATGTTTACACACACACACTGTAGTTTGAAAGTTGAATGTTTACACACACACACTGTAGTTTGGAAGTTGAATGTTTACACACACATACACACACTGTAGTTTGAAAGTTGAATGTTTACACACACATTGTAGTTTGGAAGTTGAATGTTTACACACACACACACTAGTTTGGAAGTTGAATGTTTACACACACACTGTAGTTTGAAAGTCGAATGTTTACACACACAGTAGTTTGAAAGTTGAATGTTTACACACACACTGTAGTTTGGAAGTCGAATGTTTACACACACACACACACTGTAGTTTGGAAGTTGAATGTTTACTAAGGGCTTTGTCCCTAGGGAGGCACTATTGAGATGCAGTGCAGAATCGTGGAGTTTCATGGGGTCCTGAGTCACTGAGACATGCAGTAAAAAGCCCCCTCCTCACTGTCTTCTTCATGGCTTGAGATGCGGCCCTTTCTCACCCGTATCTACCACCACTCCCACTAGACACCAGGGGCCTAGGCCAGTGGAGTGAAGCCTTCAAAATCATGAGCTAAGCAAACAACTTCCCTTTATTAAATTGGTTGCTAAGGTATTTCATTTCAGTGACACAAAGTCAACAAAATGAAAACAGATAAAAAATGTTTACTCTCCATAAACACAAGGGCCTTGTAAGAGGAGAGGATTCTGCTGCAGTGAAAGACCCGTTTGCCCAGCTGGGCACCTGGAAAGCTCCAGGGCTGTCATCAGAGCCCACAGAACACTGGCGTGGGCCTACTGGTGTGCCCATGTGTTCGTGTAAAGCAGTGGGCGGGAGAGACCAGGCAAATCAGCTAAAGTAAGAACACATTCCCCAGCACCAGTGCCACAGAGTTTGCTTTGGTTTGGTTTTCACAAGGGTGTCTAAGTTCTCTCTGGCGCTGTCTGAGTTTCTCCTCAGCTCCCCAACATCTCTGATGATAGCCGCTTACTCAGGCTGCCTTCTAAGTGGGGCATGAGGGTGTCCATGGAAACTAAGGAAGGCCTGCTGTCCCATCTGGACCAGAGGAAAGCGGACCATCTCAGTGTACAGGTTCATGGAGTCTGAATTGGCTGGGAGAGTAAACTTCAGATAACACGTTTCCAAACAACTTATGGGGATCTTGGGTAAGGCCTAAAGTTTCCTCAGGGCACTGATTTCGAAATTTCTAGTGTGTTTTATCTTGTGATGTGGCGAGACTGCAGCTGATCTCTAGGTTGCAATAGGAAGGAAAGAAAAAGAGAAGAGAGAGGAAAAGGTAGCTTGCCCTCCCCCAGGCTCTCGGAAAGGGTCTGGGTACATCTTGTTTATTACACCTCACTTTACTGTACTCTTAAGATGTTCACAATTTCAAAAAGAATTGTTTTTACTTTTTATTAGCATATTAATTATACACATTAATGACATTCACTGTGGCATTTCTACACGTGCATGCAGTGTGTGCTAATGAAATCATTCTCCTCTCAACCTCTTTTTCCACAAAGGTGTAGATGTGGTGTGTGGGGGCATTTGCGTATGTGTGGACATGTGTGAGTACATGCACATGTGTATGCATGCATGTGGAGGGTTAAGGTTGATGTCTGGAGTCGTCCTTGACCATTCTTTCACCTCGTTCACTGAGGCAAGAGGTCTTACTCAAACCTAGAGCTTACTGGTGGCGAGCCTTGCTAGCCAGCTTGCTGTGGGGACTCCTAACTCATTTAGGAAAACAACGATAGTAGCTTCTCCTCTAGGGTCTACGACCTAAAGTCATGCATGGGCTTTGACCTCATTTACACCATCAGACACAAATCCCCTCCTGTGGGATGGCCTCAAATACAATCAGAGAGCAGTTGTTTATGCCCGTAACAGTAGGCACACCTCACCTGGCAGATCGTAGTATTGTGTACATGTTGTGTACACAGTCAGGTAAGACCGTCAGTGACCTTTACCCCCAGCAGCCTGCTTGTCACTTCCCAGCACCATGGAAGCGGGAGAGCCAGGAGGTAGCCTCCAGCTCACTTACAGCTTGATCCCTTAGTGTCCTGCAGCCACAGTGGGTGGTGTTTCCACAATAGGCTCTTGTTATCTAGTTCTGGACATTCTTCTTCATGACTGAATAATATTTCACTGTGAACACATAGCACATTTTCTTTATCAGCTCATCTACTGAAGGGCACCTAAGGTGATTTTGTGTCTTAGTTATTATGAACACTATCCTGATAGACACAGACATGTAGGCTTCTTATTGGTACGTTGGTTTAGTCAGAGTGGGAAAGCTTGATCATATAATGATCAAGTCGTACGTTTCTGAGAAGCCCCCATACTGTTGTCCACATGGACATTTTTTGGTAGTCATTCTAACAGATGTCATGGAATCTCATTGTGCCTTGGATTTGCATTTCCATGATGACTAACAATAATAAGTATTTTTCATATATTAGTTGCCCATTTGTATTTCTTATTTTGAAAAGCATCAGCTCAGGCAACTGGCTCATTTGGAGGCAGTGTTATCTGGGTTTTGTTGGCAGGCTGGTTATTGTGATTTTACAGGTGAAAGGTATGGGAACCCACAGTCTACCATGGCCGGTCTGCCAACACCATTTTCCCATCAGACTGGGCTCATTTCACTCTGGGTTACACTTGGTTATTCCCATAACATCTCACACTTTTTCATCAATATTGTCATGTTTTGCAGATCTGGGGTCAGAGTCTTTGAAGTTACTATTGTGACTGTCAAAATGCCATCACTGACAGGAGCACAGAAGACATCGTGGAAATGATATCAAAGGATTAGCTGAGTCAAACAAACGAGACAGCACCATTGCCTGCTGTAGAGGTGTCTCTTGTGAAAAGGAAAAGCCACCAAGACTTCCCTGCCATCCGGGCTGTACCCTTAAATGGTGGCCCAAATGAACCCTCCCTTCCTGAAGTTGCTCATGTCAGGTATTTGATCAATAGGATCACACTGCCATGCTATTTGAAGAAATCACCACAGCCAACTCAAGCTTCGTCAACCACCGCCCTGATATGACAGTAGCCACTCTCACTGAGTCAAGATTCCCACCTACAAAGGACTAGGACATGTCAAGGGCTCAGATGAGTCGCAGTGATTGCTTTAGCAATAGTGTGTGCGTTTAAATTGTTGGACACAATACTGTCACACACTTAATGGACTATGGCATGTGGTAAATATAACTTGTATGAACATTGAAACCCAGCACTTCTTTATGAACTCGTACGTGTGTGTCTTGCTCTCATGTATCACGTGTACCGTGTGCATGTCTGCTGTGCACAGAGGCCAGAAGAGGGTGTTGGAGCTCCTGGAACTGTAGTTACAGATAGTGGTGAGCCACCATATGGGTGCTGGGAATTTTTCCCAGGTCCTCAGCAAGAACAATGAGTGCTCCAAACCACCGAGACATCTGCCAAACCCAGAAACTCCTGGTTTAGCATGACAGTCTCTTTACTGCTTTTTTTCCGAAATATCTCTGAGATTCGCCCGTGTGAATTCTGCATGTGAGGAAGGGCAGACAATGGGGACAGTATAACACTATACCCTGCATGTGAGGAAGAGCAGCCAAGGGGGGGGGGAGTATGAAAGTACACACATGGAACAGATATGGACACAAGCGTTCACAGACAAGTGAGAAGTTCTGAAAAAATGAGCTAAGCCTTGAACTAGCCTTGAAGTGTGGGTCTGCTACTCAGATGCTTATTTTTTCAGTGTGTAGTTCTTTATATATACAATTTGATATAGATTGCTTATCTAATTTCTTTTCTTATTGGGAAAGTTGAGATGGAAGGAGGCTTTGACTCTAAAATCAATGAGAGAGAATGGAGGAATCCATCCTAAGGGTACGAGAGAAATGCTCAGTGAATGAGCTCCATTTCTATTAAGTTTATCCGCCACAACTTAGAAAGTGCAGAGAAAAGCAGAAGTGAAGCCTGTAACAGCTTCGCCGCACAAAGAAACCACTGTATGGTTCCAGTTTCCAGCATGGCCTGGTCGGCTTCCCCCTTTTTATGTTGTCTGACATTTGGAATGCAAAATTTAACCCTAGTGTTTCAGTTATTTTACTCACTGACTTGTTTACTGTGGGGGACTTGGGGCACACATGCCAGGGTGTGCATGTGACACTTGGAGGAGAACTCTCAGGAGTTTTCTCTCCCCAACATCCTGGGGATGGAGTTCAGATTGCCAGGCTTGGTGGCAAGCACCTTTATCTCCCGAGCCATCTTGCAGGCCCGAGTCTAAGTTTCCAGTTGGGTAACATGGGCGGGTTTCCATTTTATGATCACTGCGTGTGTTAAATTGGGTTGCTGTGTTACGTTCACTCAGACATTCCCACCTGTTAGACATTTGTCTAGATTCTAATTGTTCGACCCTGTTCTAAACAGTTAAGCGATGAGCAGGTCCATACACAATCCCTTTAATTTTTATTTCTTTAGAGACAGCTTTCAGAAAGGAAGCCATGGATGTAGTCAGTATGAATAGCTGAAGTGGCCCCACATGTCACTAAAAATAATTCAGAAGACAGTTGAAAAGGCCTCCCTGCTCAGCTTCTGCCCCTCCCATCCCCGCCCCTCATTCTTGCTTCTTTTCCAAGGGGAGGAGGAAAAGAAGAGGGATTGGGCACTCCTGGGTCCTCGCTGCCAGCAGGCAGTCACAGGGCACGGAGAAAGATGCTGTCTTTCTTCCTCTAGAACGCAGCCCGGGAGAGCCAGCTGGAAACATGGACATCTGCAGGAAGCCTGGGCATTTCCTTTTCTCTCTCTTCCCCCATATGGCAGGCAGGCAGGCAGGCAGGCTTCCGCTTTGCCTCTGCCTGGGCTCCAGGATGAACTCAGAGGCCAATGTGCTTTCTGCAGAGCTCAGTCTCATCCAGAGCAGACAGTGCACATAGACTTTACTGTCTCTCCCTGCTAGCAGGGCAACAGCCAGCTGTCCAAGGAAAGAAGGCTGCCCCGGGAGTCTAACTGAAAGTAGGCTGAATATTTTTGAGGCAGAACTTTGTTTTGAGGGTGGGGCTGGAAGACCTCTGACACCTAAGTTTCCCCTAGGAGGTACTCTTCATTTGTAAGATGGTGCAGCTGAAAGTCCCAGGTGGGATTTGGGGGGGTGCTCAGCATCGATGGCTGCCTGATTCTCAATTCTCTGGATTGCTAGGGCCAAAAATTTGGCATGAAGTTCCTTCAGCAAAATTGGGAGATGTTTAACAACTGGCTACCTAGGAAGGAAGGAAGGAAGGAAGGAAGGAAGGAAGGAAGGAAGGAAGGAAGGAAGGGAGGGAGGGAGGGAGGGAGGGAGGGAGGGAGGGAGGGAGGGAGGGAGGGAGGGAGGGAGGGAGGGAGAAAGGGAGGAAACACCCGACTTACAGTGTTTTCAGATTCCCACAGGCTAACTACTTCCATGCAGGCTGATTTCAAAGGCATTGGACAGTTTACACAATCCCTGTCCAGAGGTTAGCCACAAGCTCTTGCAAAGTAGAGAAAGCCCACTGTCCCAAAGCAAGGTGGTAAACCGAAGGCTGATTCACTCACTGTGTCACTGTGTGGGAAGAGAGGTTCTCTTCATTTGTAATGTGCTGCAGAAATGACCTCAAGGATGAGAACCCAAGGACGCACAGCCCCATAGGCTTCTCTTTGCAAGCCAACCCATTGTTGCCATGGATTCGCGCTCTGCATGTCAAGACACTGCAGCAGGTGGCTTCTGGAGCTGCCTTCTCACTGAGTCACAGCTAGAGACATAGAAGCCCTCAGCTCTGACTGGAAAAAATCTTGGGGAAGTTGACCAGGCCCTCCTTTGCCACAAGCTCCGGACAGAAGGCTGCCTAGTGGTGGTGGTGAGGAGGATAGTGCTACAGCTGGCACTTCCCTGTGTTAGTTAGTTTTGGACACGATGACATAGCACCAGAAAACCGACCTGAAGCAGGAAGATTTATTTGGCTTAGTTAAAAGTGAGCTAATTCCATCGCTCTTAGGTCTGGGATGATGCAGAGTATACTGGGCACTGGGACATGCTGTAGAGGAAGATGCTGTCTTCGTGAGAGCTTGGAAGCAGTGAGACAGAAGGACAAGGAGCCAGGTATATTCAAGGGCATGCTCTCAGTGACCGCCTTCCTCCAGTGAGGCTGTACCTCCGAGTTTCTAATGCCTCCTAATAATGCTGCTACAACATGGGTCCATTGGCACAATCCATTGGCGAGGTCAGAGCCTTCCTGCTTGGGTCACCTCTTAACAGTGCCACCAGCAAGGGTCTGCTCCCGCCAGTGACCATCTTAGTGCCACCAGAACTTAGCTCTCATTTCTGCTTGTCTTCAAAGTGCTTGAACCAATGACAGCATGAAGCAGCTGTTTCCTGTTACTTATATGGGCATTGTATTTCTTGGGATTTGTCTTTAATCTCAGCTAATGTTGTAGCAAAAATAAAAGTGATTCCATTTTATACCATAAATAGATTGCTAATACACTGTGTTAAATAATCATATCTTCTTTTTTGTGAATTATGTTCATGGCTTTAGATCACTTCTAGAGTTTTAAGTTAGTTTTTAATTTCTCTGGCAAAAATGTAGTCTTGCATTTTAGGTCACAAGGAAATAAGAGAGCAAACAACTGGGGGGCTCCTACCTTCAGAACACCCTTCCATTAAAAAAGATTTATTTAGTTTCAATGTGTGCATGTGTGTGCATGTGTGTGCATCCAAGTGTGGGCATGCACACATGAGGGCAGGCCTCCGAGGAGGCCAGAAGACCAAGTCAGATCCCCTGGAGATAGAGTTACAGGCTTTTGTGAGCCACCCAGTGAGGGGGCTAAGAACCTAACTCCAATCCTCTGCAAGAACAGGAGGTGATTTTGACGGCTGAACCACCTCCTTAGCCGCCAGAAAGCCACTTACGATAGCACACAGCGGCATGTCACCCTAACAAATACTTTTCCTCTGTGCCCTCATGAGCACAGTCTTCTAAGACGCTTTCTTCACTTATTCAAAAAAATTAATTTTCCATTTTATATAGCTGAATATGATCTACTCTGCCCTTTTAACCAAATCATTTTCATCTATGCTTAGATATTCCAGTTTCTCACAAAATTTTAAGAGATGATTAATTTTATTTATTTCTGGTTTTCCTAGGTGTAAAACCTTTATACACTTGATTATCTAATGCAGTTTTCTTTAGTATGTCTGGAGTGAACCACACACTGAAACTGGAACTATTATCAAGTATTCAACAGCGCCTAAAGTCTTCCCTTCCCCGCCACTCCATATAGATGTCAATAGGCAGAATTTTGGTCAATGGGCCAGTGAGGTAGGGCTTGTGGGGACAGCTGCTGTCATAAGTACCTTAGGAAATTCAGTGTAGGGAATGGTGAGGAATGGTTTTATCTGGGACACAGGGTAGCTTAAAATATTTTTGTCATTTTAGTTTATGTGTAACATGCGTTTAAATTACATGCATATTTACAAGCGTGTATGGGCCCCCAGAGGCCAGAAGAGGTCATTAAATTACTTGGAATTGGAGTTAACAGATGGTTCTGAGCTGCTGTGTGGGTATTGAAAAACCAAACCAGGTCCCCTAGAAGAGCAGCCAGTCCTTTTAACCACTGAACCATCTCTCTAGCTCCAAGGGTAGTTTTTGTTTTTTTAAATAGCCCCATGTTTGCTAGGCAAATACTCTACCATTGTGCCATATCCCTAACCATTTTTTAAATTTGGAGACAGGGTCTTTCTGTTGACCAGGCTGACTTTGGACCAACTCTGTTCCCCATGTAAACCTTTAACTTGCCATCTTCCTGCTTCAGCCTTCAATGGAGCTGGTATTTTGGTAATTTTCACCAAGGACTGACATACTTGTCACCTAAGGAGCCTTTAAGAAATACTAATACTGGCGTCCTACCATTAATAGTCGGCATTGCGGTCTGACGTAGATGCGTACTAATCTGCTTTCCCAGAGGTCCCGCAGATACTGCCGGCGCAGAGAATTATGGGAGACAAGGCTGAGCAAACATGTAGGCAGCAGGTTACAAGAGCTGTTGAGGCCACCCTGAACGTGGAGACAGGTTCGGGAGGCAAACAGCCTACCCTCCATGGGAAGGGAGG